ATCGAGAGGCAAAGCAAGATGCAGGAAGACATCAGAACAAACAGCATTTTCTCTTTCTTTGAGTTTCAGGGGGCTCTAAAGCAGCTAGGATAGCCTCATCAAATACGTTCTTCAGTCCCCGCTACAGAAAGAGGAAGAGAGGGGGGGAAAAGACAGGCACACAGGACAGTTAGATGGAGGTTTTAGCCAAATGCTGTTAGCAAAAGACAAGGCAAAGTATTTCCACCCTTGTTAGGAAACTTCAAACACACACTTGCCACACAAGCTATAACTTTAAAAAGGAGATCTTACCTGTGTTAGGGCTGAGCACTCAACATATTTGACTGCCTTTAGGTCCCGAGCAAGCTTCTCTGCAGTCTCGGGGGTTATTGGCTTCTGTTTGTTCTTGGCTAGCTTCTCCACTGTGGAGGGGTCATCGCGCAGGTCAATCTGAGTGCCTACCAACAGGAACGGGGTCTTGGGACAGTGGTGGGTAATTTCGGGAACCCACTGGATAAAAATTAAAACAAATACAAAACTCTGATCACTTAAATGCAGAAACGTTTAAGGTTAGGGCATATTATGCATAAAAAATACTGAAGAAATGTATTATGGGGATGTTGAGTGATAAGGTGAGAGAAAAACAATGTGTAAAGATGAAATGGAGGGAAATTAACTTGAAGCAACTTTGGAAACATTCATTACATGAGTATTACTCACTGTGAAACTGTGGAAGGGGAAATGTAAACAAAGACTCTTGCAGCCTATTTGCTGTATACCTAAACCAATGTAGTACTGGACTTTAGGGAAGAAGTGTGCTAAGGCACGCTACAGACTGCCTATTGTCAATGCGCCCTATGTATCAGTTCACTGTACATGTTAAAGGTCCCATATTATGCTTTTTCTGGTTTTATATGCTCTTTAGTGTGTCCTGTGCATGTTTAGGCACATCTATGTGCAAAAATTCAAAGTCTGCGGAAACGCGGCTTCTCCTACGTCCTCCTGTTAGCTGTAGCATTAGCCGCATGTAACGCTCGGTTCTAGCCCCCCTTGATAAAGATTTGCCAGTGTGGTGTCATTGTCAGTGTGAGATCACTGATCTAAGCCCATTGGCTCGTTGTGGCAAGCCCAGCAGCTCATGTTGAAATTTCCGAGACGTGTGCTGAGCAACTGACCAGTAACGACAGAGCGGATCTGCAGACCAATCAGAGCAGACTTGGCCCACGTGGGGTCTAACAGTGTGGGCTCAACAGAGTGTAGCTGACGGACTCAGAGCGTAAAGGGAGCAAGGAGGAGCAGTACATGAAAACGGACTTTAGCTATTGTGAACGTACAAATGTAGGTACATAGATTAACTATACGAACTCCAAAAAGGGCAAAATATGACCTCTTTAAGTTTATTTTCAGATACTTGGAAGGAGAGGGTGTTATTACATTTGCAGTTGAGCAACTCAAGTGCTTTTAGGATCAAACGTTTAACTCACCTTCTCTTTAACATTCTCAAATGATGAAGGGGAAACAACTGAGAAACAGACTAAAAACACATCCGTCTGTGGGTAGCTTAGTGGTCGTAGTCGGTCATAATCTTCCTGACCTAAAGCAAGAAAATACGACACAAATTTACTCTCAGTCTGACGGACTAATAACTGCATCAAATTCCACATTAAAATAGTTAAATGTAATCTTACCTGCTGTGTCAAATAAGCCAAGGGTGTATGGTTCCCCCCCAATCATTACAGTTACTGCATAGTTGTCAAAAACCTGTAATAAAATAATGAATGGCAAGTTACAAAAGTGTCTTTTTTTTTTAGTTCTTTACCAAAATGTGACAGCATGCATGTGACTGTGAAACACACCAAAGCAACTTACTGTTGGTACATATTCAGAGGGGAATTTGTTGGTGGTGTATGAAATCAACAGGCAGGTTTTACCCACTGCTCCATCACCCACCACCACACATTTGATAGTCTGCATCGTTGTGCTTTCTGACACTGCTCACAGTAATGATGGCTGCTGGAAGATAGGATAGGGTAAGATAAAACTTTATTGATCCCTAGGGGAAAATCAGGCGTTACAGCAGCACAGACAAGAAAGCTCAAAAGCACACATTAAACAGAATAGATAAGATAAATGAAAACAAAAAGAGGGGGTATATACAGTACAAAAAGAATGATGAAGTTAACTGGGGGGGAATTGAGACAGTATTTGCAGAGAATGACAGATAAAGTGATGATTAAAGTGACTTGGTATGATAAAATAGCAGAAAGTAATGTAAAACAGCAGAGAAGAGAGGCAGTGTTGTACCACAGTAATGCAGAGTGCAGTTATATAATATAATGTAGTATAATATAATATAATATAATATAGTGCAATATGAACAATATAGTATATATAATGAAATGTTATATAATATAGACCAGTATAATAATATAGAATATACAGTGTATATACATGGATGCTAAATAATAATAATAATAATAATACAATGATAAGAGTTGACAGTACAATGAGACATTTAATAAGAGATACAACATGTTTGTATTGTAAATTATGTCTTAAGGTTAAGTGACCAACCATATCAACTTTTAATCAAAGACTGGATGAGGCAATGTTGTCAAAATGTTTTTTTTTCTTCCGCCTAGTATTAACAAGTAAGCGTCACGCCCCATAGCTAATGTTAGCTCATGAAAATGGTACTCACTTGCTTACTCATTAAAGTACCCGGAATACTTCAGCGTTTCCACATAATGACATGAGCGAACAACACATTAAAGCTATACACCCGAACAAACGAGTAACAGTATTGGAAAAAAACAAACAACTGGTCTTGTTATGTTGGCTAACGCCGAGCTAGTAACCACCAGACATCAGATAGCTTAGCATCCGGCCGGCTAGTGTTACGTTGGAAACTAACGCTGTCTTTCCTCTATCGCACGGCCAGCAAGACGAGGCTTGTGAATCACAGATGCAAACGTGAGTACAGATGCAGTGAGATTAAGTAAATGTTTAGAGTAACATACCAGTGTCCCTCCGTATCTCCGCTAGTTTACGTTAGCTGTTTCTTTCGCCGGGCGTTGGCACCAGCTACAGTCAGTGAGATGCTAAGTCTCACTTCCACTCTGATAATCAAGCGAAACAGAAGAAAAAAAACACCGGATGTCGCCTTCAAAGTTAAACATTTTTAGCTTCCGTTTCAAAACCTTTTGCTTGATAATGTACATGATGGATGCTAAAGTGGTGACAAATATCAATTTATTTTGTATCTTTTTGTTGTGCAATTCATTTATACGAGTCGTTTGACTGTTGAACTCTTCACACGCGTCCTACGTGCTTTTATTTTGAAATTATTTTTACTCTAAGTATGGTGGCTGTTTGACACGAGCTGCTCAGCGAGGTTTGTTTCTGCAGCAGAAGTGTTGACGTCACCTTGATACCTGATTGAAGATCAAATGTTTTCACCTATTTGACATGTGAAGATAATAAACGGTGTGCTGTTGTGAACCTCTTTAATCATTTGCAAAAAATTATATTCATAAGGCCAAAGTTCTTACCTAAACTCCCTCTTTTAAGCTTTTAAAAAAAAAATTATAATGCTATTTGAGTCACTTGTTTTAATAACAACAAAAACATCTGTCAATCATTTATGTTTATTTATATTTTTATTATTTTTTAACGAGTTTTATTTTTATCTTTATGATTTCTTTCTGATGATGTTCTTGTATCTATTTCCATTAGAATGTGTTGTATGTTTGTTTTTTGTACATTTCGACAAATCAATACAGTAAAAAAATACAGTTTAACAAAGTCTGTTCCTCATAAAAAAGATCTAAATGAAAAAGGTAGAAGACATTGGGATATCATACATGTCCTTTATATTCAGCTAAACTAGTTTTAGGATGAGATCAAATAAGAATTAGACAACATTTTATTTATGTATAACAAAGTTTAACATTCATTACATTCAACAACAACCGCACAGTTACAGTTTTTAACATGGAAACAACAATAAATGCAAACGTATAGAACTCAGAACTCACTAATGGGAACATAAAGGGTTGAAAGAATATAAAAAAAAAAATTATAATGGAATCCAAAGTAGTGCCACATCCTAAATACTTTCCTCTGACACAAACTTTAAATGCATGCTTTTGCATTAAATTGTACAGAAGGGGCTATCACACTGTTAATATATTCTATGCCAAGGCCAGCAGACATTATTGTGTAATTTGTAGTAGATAGAGTCAGCTTGATAATAAAATTTGCTTGACAAGAATCATAAATCACCACTGCCTCTTTTAGAGCATATAAAACACTTCCTGCAGAGTTTGCACATAATTCAGCGTTGAATGAATTTGTATGTTACCATTTTGCATACATTTTGAGAAACACTGTGTCGAACCCCCTAGATGGCCTGTTCGATGTTTAGAGGAACTAAGCATGTGTGTGTGAGTATTTATGTTAGGAAACCAATCTCTTTTGATCATATCTTGAATCAACCAAAGGCTGAAAAGCTCCTCGTTACAATTCAGCTTTATTATTTATCCTTTTTTTTCACATGAAGCAGAATTTGCAGGAGTTGGTTCAACCATTATGATTTTGTGAAAACTCTATAAAAAGGTGGTTAAAACCCCAATGTCTATAACGACTGCTACTGGATTATATCCACAAATAATTCAAATAAAAGCCAAGGGCTTTAAGGCTACTTGGATATTTAAAGGGTGGAACGTTAAGTCAGCCAAAGTTAAGTCACTGAAATTAATGTAGTTTAAACATTTAAATGTGAAGGAAAAGAGTCTCAAACTTTAGCCACTTTTTAAATTGGTTCATTTTTAAAAGTTTAATTTGCCTACTGATTCAGTGTCTAGATAAGGAAAACGTTTCTGGCCTAGTTGAAAAGTGTATAAAATAAAGATTTTGCTAAACTGCCTCATAAATGTTTGAGTTTTGATTCTCTAATTGTGGGTTTGGCAATGTTTTCTTCCCTTTTTTTATCCTCCATGTAATGATATGTGTTGTTACCACACAACCCAACATTAAAATAAAAAGGATCCAACGGAGAGTCGCCCACCAACTGGTAAGAAACAAACAGAATTGACTGTGGTTATAATTTTTTCTTTCTTTTGTACAATATAGTGTATTTATGTTCATTAATCACTGATATTAACAGTTGTTCATTTTTAGCAAAATATTACAGAACAAATGATGTAATGAACACTGAATCCTCACCTTATTTCTTCATGCGTCATGAGGGGAGGCGTTATGGTGGTTGTTGATATCACTGAAAAAGAACAATTGACTTAAACATCTGAAACAGCATATGGACTAATCAACTGATTTTCTTTGGAATTAGATTTATATATCTTTGCAATCACATTGGACTGACAGGGTTTGATTGAATATAATCTGTTGCAAAGGAATTTGATTATACAGACAAATTCAATCAGGATCTTTTTAGGATAACAAATGGTTGATTTCCACCAGTAGTATTAATACAAAGAGAAGAACACATTATGTGCATGAAGTTTGATTGATAACTTTGAATAAGTCATACATCTTTTTGTCTTACTGGGTCAAAATAAACATGTGCTAACAAAATTAGATTACGATAACATTTGACTGCATGTACCTGGGTTGGACAGTCGAAGCCGGACACCAGCGTGGTTGTTCCTTCCAAATCTTGAGATGACACACCAGTACATGCCTTCATCACTTTTACTGAGAGAGGTCATCGTCACAGTGAAGACTCCGGCCTCCTTATCGTCTGTAATGGAGCTTCTTTCACTGTATCGATTCTTGGGTGTTTTCACCACAATTTCACAATGCTCATACACCAGCCCTTTGCACCAGTACTTTGTGTAGTTTCTCAACTTCTGGTCGTACTGGCAGGAGACGGTCACAGATCCCCCGTACACTCCTGTTACCACCTCTGGAGCCGAGAGCCTAGCTGAGTCCACTGCATGTTTAGTTAGCCAGAGGAGACAGAGGACTGGAGCTGCAAAATACAAGAACAATAAATATGATATGATCCAATAACTCCTTCAAGTTTTTAATTTTTATTTAAAAGCTACAGCGTTATTTTTTAAATTGATATTACCATTGAAGAAGCCAAGCATTGTCCTTGATGTCCTCATGATGGTACCAGAATGAATCATGTGAAGCGGAAGTGTGCAGCATGTAGAGGCTTCCTCTCCCTGTTATTACCCTCCACATGGTTGTGCAACACTGTGGTTAATGTGACATTCGAGTGTGTGCAATGTTTTCTTGTGTAGACTTCTGTTTATATGGGAAATATTAAGTTGAGGTCCACCTGTGTGTCATGCCCCTCTATGTAAAAATATGTGGTGGGCAAAGTAAGGCCAGTTCTGTTACTTAAACAGCAGGTGATGCTAAAGACCAAACTCACAGAGGATACTATAATATAATTAGAGCCAGACATCCTGGGATTTATCACTTACTTTTGTGTAAATAAGAAATCCCTTTTAAATTAAGACTACAATATCAAAATCAAATGAAAAGATTGCAGAGTTTGCATTTTTTTCACAACCATGCATTGCATCTGATCCTTCCTGTTTTCTCACCAAAACCGGTGTTGAGAAATCCCTCACAGTGAGGATGAATTCGAACCATAACCCTTTTTTACATCTGTCTGTTTGTCTATTACTACTGTAAAATAGTGCGCCATAAAGTGATTTGATTGATCTCTTTCCCTTTCCAGGTGTGTATATTAGCAGTTGTATGCACGACAGTATATGTGCATATGTATGTGGGTGTATCTATTTATGAGGGATGTAAATTGTTTCTTACTTCATTAATGGAGTGCTAGCTACCATACCAAAAATCCATTAGTAAGTATGTGTTAATGTACCCAGGAGGAAAGCTTGCATTTGGTTTTTAGTTTTGGGTGTTTATTTTCTGTGTTATTATATTCCTTGATTTCATGTGTTGATGATACTTAATTATACATGCTCCATATTCTAAACAGTCATCAGGCTTTCATCCATGTTATTTCTAACTTGCCACTCTAGCATCACTTTACATTTTAAATTGCTTAAGGTTTGATGGCTTTTAAAGATGAAACATTTCTATGAAATGTATTTTTCAGGTTTGTCAGGGTTTCAGTATTTCATGAGCATAATAAATCACATCCACAGTTTTGAAGTTGTTCATTTTTTTTTAAGTTGCAGTTCAGTCCCACAAACACAAATTAAAGTTTAATTATCTGACAGTTTGTGTCGGATTTGATCTTTTATGGTATCTGGATCTTTTTTTAATGCTTTAGCTCACTGACTGAAGTGACTACCAGCAGATTAGTCGTGACTCTTTTATTTATATTGACAGCTAGCAAAATTTTAAATTGTTTCAGTCAACATTCAACAATCAAGCCATATTAGTGTAGTCTGAGCTGATTGTTTGTGTTTAGCTCGACTAACAAGTTACACCAAAAATAGATTTATTCTAAAATATGACATTTTATCAGAATCTGTGCATATTTCTACTTTTTTCTCAAATACAAAGCATTTGCATAAATGAAATGTTGGGGCTAAGAAGGAAACTGCTGTGTCTAATGATTTCTTATAGGTCAACCAGCGTAGGAAAAACAGAACTGGGTTGGTGACACATGCAGCTGTGACGCATAAGTAGACAGGACAAGAATTACAACACCTTCAAGCACAAATGTTTTATTTAAAACCTCCCTTATGACAAATTTAACCTTCTATAAGTACACATAGACTAGTTTTAATCAAATAATTGTTATCAGGAAATTATATCTTTCTTTGAAAAATAAATTCTGTACGTTTCTGAATATTAAGGATAGTATTTGCAGTGGTCAACAGTGTCCCTTAATGTATATGACAGCTGAAGAGAGACAGGAAAATGTTGGGATGAGAGAGTGTGGGATGACATGCAGCAAAGGGCTGAGGTTGAATTCATACCCATGGCCGCTGCGATGAGGAGTCAAGCCTCTGTTCATGGGGCGCACACAACGACATAACCGCTCGTTATTTCTCATGTTAAGCATGTAATGTAGCCATAATATTTGACTGGTGATTTGGTTGCAACAGACAGTTAACACAGTCATACACTTGTGTTTTATTAGCAGTATGTCATTTAACTTAGTACTAAGAAAGGAATGACGGGATTTAACATTTTGTATTTGTTTTCTCTTGTTTATCTTCCTTCCCAGAAATCACAAACACCCACACATACACAGACATACACACCAAGACAGAAACATTTACACATTCATGCAAATGTGTACGTACACCTTGTCAAGCAGCAAGTTAAATATATCTTCATAACTGGAACCTGTGACTCCTGCGTGATTTAACCAGTCACACCAGTGGTGGTTTGATTTTTACGGAACCCAAGTTTTGAGAGAAGCCTCCTCAGTCAGCTGATCTTTCTTGTAGCTGGACTATCCAGCTTCCCAATCAAAATGTAATTATTTTATTTAAGCAGGAAAAACTTGTTGAGATTAAAAATCAAAGAACATATCATATGTGAATGACTGTCCTTTAGGGTGCTAAATTGAACCACTCTAAGACAATGACACCACTTCTTTACCTTTTCACTATAATAAAATCATACAGGATGATTTGGGAGTAGCCGATGGCATACATTCTGGGTCCTGCCTTTAAGATAACCAAGATATTTTCTGTTGACATCAGCATCTCTCTCTTTAAATATTACATAGACTGTTAAAGATAAAAGAAGGCTGCATTGAAGTGGATGATAAGATACGTTCTCTATTAACCATGTAAATGATTTTGATTTGAATGCAAATCCCTCTTCATAACATCTCACTGACCCCCTTTTTCAGCATGATTGGAGTTGTCAAATATAGTCAGTATCACATCTCTTCAGTCTGCACAGATTTCTGAAGGCAATTTTGCCCCGCTGTTATGTGAGTTGGCTTGAATAAAGCTCAATGAAGACAATTTACTGCAGGATATCAAAGACACATGTGGTGAGATTTGATTGATATTTGTGTTGGTTTTTATATTTCCTACATAAATGTGCCTAATCATAGATCAAATTTCAACTTTTAAATTCTGGTGTGTTCATTGTGCTAAATTTTTTTAATTTGGTTTAGGTTTACTCACAAACTGAGTTGTTTTAATACAAATTCTTCAGCCACAATAGATACCTCTGGGGGTTTTGTGCCTGGCTGAATTCAAGGATACTACGTCAAAGCAAAAACAAAAACGTACAACATAAGCCTGGTACAATTCATTGATTCTCTTGGTTGTAAATATTTTATATCTGTTGACATTCAACAGAGAGATGAGAGCTGCCTTTGAGAGGCCAAGCAGAGAAACAAGGCATGTCTTCTGTTGTTTCCCAAGCCTAGCTAGTGAGAAACTGAAGCACTGTTTGTGATGTATTGCGTCATGTTCACGGCTACATCCCAGTTAAACAGAGCAACCCCTGAATCTCTCCCTTTCTTCTAAATGATTAACACGAGGTTGTTAATGTTGGTGTGGTAGCAACATCTTCCATTCTTTCTTCTCACAACCAGGTTGTCTGGACAGTTTTAATTGACCAAAATCCATCTTTTGTACGGATTGATATTGTTTATCTGGAACTTTACATGCCCAAAGTGCAAACTGGTTCTGTAGCCATGACTACCTATATTTCTTATGTGCATGTTCTGTGCCAAAAACTACTGGAAGAACTGAAGATCTCAAGCTGCAAAGCTGATTGTTGATTTTCCAACATAGGGCAACAAATTCCCTCTCCCTGGAGCTCTGGAGGAAGCTACAGTTGAGGGTATAATCATGGTTTTAGCTCCTACTGCTGGTGACATGTATAAAGGCTCCAAAAAAAAAATTCTATAACTGCAGCAAGAGCACTGCGCTGCTGGTCTGGCCTTTGAGTGCTCCTGTAATTGTTGCAACTGGCCTGAAAGCTGAAGTTATAGATTGACTAGTTAACTTTTCAAAGGCTGGCAGACTATTTTACATTTGTTTGAGTTCTCAGGGATTCCAGTTCCTTGAGTAAAAATTCCTTCCTTCCTTCCACATTGAATGTAAACAATGTTACATTTAAGGTTTCACAAAGAGTACGGTCTAGTCTCTAGAGCTTCTAAAGATTGATTGATTTGTCTCTGTATAAATGCTCATTGCGTCACTGTTATTGTTTCACTACCTGTACAACACAGTGAGGGAGTAGATGTGTTTCTGTGCATAGGCCAAAAAAATATGGAAAAGCATGTTTAAACATTGTTCAAACTAAAGATTTAAGCCAAAGAGAAAAACACAGAAAACACCAACACTTGTTTAGTTTTCCACAGGTTATATTAATTTATTTTCATACAATTACAATTCTGATGCAATATAAAATAGAAAACTAATCCTTAATCGAGAGACTGCTCTCCACATAAGAGAAAAAAAACAACAACACTAGAACTATAACATCTAACAGTGCACAATATCAGCAATGCAAATACCAGCAATGCAAATGCCATGTTATTTCAAGCACAATACAGGTAAAATGGCATCATGCGTATTGTAAGACTTAGGTGAAACATTTGCAGTCTTTGATGATAAATTGCTGGGATGTTTTATATATCCCTCATACGGTAGCCAGTAAAGGACAAAACACAGCTGCTGTCCATCTCAGCTGCTCTCTTTCTGTTCTGTTTTTGCAGATGCATCCTGCTCTGGGGCTGCTTCTTCCACCATGGCTGACTTTTTCGTTGTTCCTGTCGGGATGCAGAAGAGAAGTTGAGGGGGGAGATGGAGGTGGGGGGGTGAAGAATGAATATAAACAAACACACAACAGCAGCATCAATGTATCAGATTGATAGTGTACCTGTAAGGTAATTCCTGTGCATTCGGGCGAACAGCATGAGACCAAAGAAGACGATAAAACCTATGCAGGCTATAATCATTCCACACAGCAGGAAGCTGTAGCTGCCTTCAGTGTGGATAATCTGGGGATGAGAAAGGGAGCCTTAAACTGCTGAACATGAAGTAGAAGCGTCATTTCTCTATTTCTAGAATAAGGAAGATGCTTAACAGACTTACTGAGCCAACTACAACCTGCATCACCATCTCGCCCATCCCTGCACTTGTCACCAGGACTGACGTTGCACATCCTGCAAAAAAAAGAAAATAAATGTATGTTTCATTTCATCTGCTTGCTTTGTTTGATTCTATTTTATTTATTTTTTTACATGTGCATTAACACTTTATCATACCCTGATAATCCAGGATGTCTTCGGTATAGGCGAGCATGCAGGGGAATATGCTGCTGAGGAAAAGCCCACATAAACAGGTGCCAACAAATAGAAAGATGCTGCTGGTGTAGAAAATAAGCAGCATCAACACAGTAACAATCGCACCCGCCTGTAAAAACAAAGAGGAAAGGGTATCGTCAAGGATTTATGGAAGTTCACACATTTCAGAATATGTTGGAACAGGAAATAGAGGGAAATAAGGTACTCTGGTCCTGGATCAAAATCAATTACATACAGGATATACGACACTATACAAACATTTTAGACGGTGAAAAGAAGTCTTAAAAAACTCTGAGTGCCTTTTTTTTTCACCCTTATAGTAAGAAAATACAGAGATAAATATAAGAGTAAGATGAATATGAACATCAGTTTGTATCATCTATCATGTCATGGCACTCTAAATGTTTTATTACCAGGTTGAACATGAGCAGCCTCACAGGCTGGAAACGGTACGAGAGAGGAATGGACAACAGGCGTCCAGCAGTGATGGCAGCCCAAAAGATGCTGGCCAGGTAACCCGCAGTCTTAGGGGGCAGAGACATAGGTGGGGCCACTCCGTAGTAGTAAACAAAGCCAGCGTAGGTACCCTGAGAGGAAAAGGCAGATTCTTTTTATGTCTGTTTTTGTGTTCAGTGTGGAGAATATTTTGTTTCCCTCCTTAAATTATTATGTAGAATATGGAATGCACGCCCACTCACCACAATACCATCGGTCATGAAGAGCACCATCCCGCCAAGGATATGGATCATAAAGAAGGACACAGGCAGCCCGCGCAGGTTATCATTCCGACAGCAGCTAAAGATGTCACCATGACCTGTAACACACCACAAAGTCACAAATGTCAGATTGCAGAACTAGAAATGTTCCTATACCCATTTTTCCATGCTCAAACCAATTCTGATTCCTTAACTTTTAAGTACTGGCTGATACCGAGTACTCCTCCTATAGAAGTTTGAAAACAAATATACACAAGATTTATGGAAAGATACTGATGGCTGGCGTTTTGTTTGCTTTGACTTATATTCAACCTTGTGCTATCACCATACTGTTGGTTTAAAGGTTTTATTGATTAAAGTAGACATATTTTCTGATACCCAAAACCACATTTAAGCCGGTATCATCGGCCTTTACCAGTCGGACAACTCTATGTAGATGGGAAAAAAATACCTTCTTTTGCCTTTTTTCCTGAAAATCCAACTAAATCTCCAAATAAGAATGTTTGTATTCATCTTAACATTATTTATAATGATAATGATTAAACGACATTTAATTATATTCTATTTAAGCTCCTTGACAGTAGGAGTACTACTGTTATGAGCCTCTGATAGATAGACTCTGTATAAAACTATTTTTCCACATATTTACCTCCAGCTTCATGTTCCCTCTGCTCCACTTCTGTGCCCTCTGCCCCCTGCTGGTTCTCCATTGCTAGTTCATCTTTGTCCAAAAGTCGAGGAGTGCCGCTTTGGCAAAATGGGATCAGCTGCTCCCGATACATCAGGAATAGGACTGCAATGGGCACGGGTAACTGAGGGTGCACATAATATATCCACATTTTTAAAAGCAATAAGTTACTCGACTCTTGCACATCAAATACTGTGTCTCTTTACAGCTTCTTACATTGATTATGGCCATGATCCAGAAGGCATAATGCACACTGGACTCTTCCTCTCCCACATGGGTTGAGTGGCTGTGAGTTATGTTGTGATCTGGGATCGGAGTGTGTCTCAGCATGAGCCTGACGTGATGCATGATCTCAGTACCATTCCCTGTGCTGTTCCCGCATCCGGCCTCTGAGAGGAAAGGATCTGCAATAAGTGGGCTCACCAGGGCTCCGAACCCGATGAAGAAATGAAGAGCCTGCAGAAATGAAGAATGCAAAGGCCAGAGAAATAACTTACTGTATTTTCAGGACATAATTAGCTCATATCTTGATAAAAAAGTTCTCCTACTAAGCATATTTCTTCCTTTTTAATTTGTCAAAATGTGCAGAGGAAACAATGCATGAGCTCTATAATTGCTTTTTATGTCTGTACTTGTACGGCTAGGGTAAAAGTAAAACAGGCTTTCTTCACCTGTAAGAAGACGGCCGAGTCCCTCTGATAGATGGTCACCAGTTGGATGTTAGCAATGGTGTCAATAATTCCCATCGCCAACCCGGACACAGCCATGGCAACAGCAAGCAGGAGAACATTAGTGCAGAGCGGGATGATGGCAAATATTACAGAGATGACGAGGGCAGAGACAAATAGGGCAGATAGAGCACTGAGCAACCTTGAAGAAAGAAGAAAGTTACAGTGAAGGTCAATCATTTTTAGATCACCTATTGATAGACCAGCAAAGTTGAGGGGTTGATACTTACGTCCTCTTGAAAATGCCACCAATAGAGCTGCCAATCAGCAGGAGGAACTGCTGGGAGAAGAACACCCAGGTGATCTGATCGATTGTTGACTTTGTTTGACTCTGCAAGTCACAAATTGTAGGTCCAAGAAAGGCGATGCAGAGTCCAAAACTGAAGAAAACGCTCCAGTAGGTCAGTGTGTGATGGGCATTTCTTTTAAATAAAGTTAGGATCCGCTCATCCACAAACATCTTGGCTTCAATAAATACAAATGTTCCCTTAAAAAAAATGGGCTGCCAAGAATACTAAGCAACAGTACACTCAAAGTACAGAAATATCAGATTGTGATGGCTGCTCCGTGAAGTTTTGACGATGCGTTTTGTGGTAACAGTTCGTTTCTTGATCTCTTTTAAAGCTTTACGCTCCCTCCTCCAGGGATTGCTTAACTGGAGAGGATGTTCTCTTGAGTTAATGGGTGAAGTGGAGATCCTTCCAACAATAATAAGACCATTTGAATTGTGTCAATCATTGGCAGTGAGAAGGACTGTGTTGAAATGCTACCAGAAAATGTGTATTTGTGTGTCATGGCTACTACCAACCCCTATCAATGGAAAATGTATCATTCTGGAAAAAATGACACATAGGCACCTTCTGCACAATTTGTCTTTTCTTGTCGAACCCTGAAGCATTTTGACACAATACAAATCACCTACAATATGAATACTTTAGGGTACCGGTGGCTTAGTGGTTAGTCCACCAGCCCATAGACAGAGGCTGCAGTCGTCAAAGTGGGCGGGTTCCGGGTTCTAATCCGACCTGCTGCTCCTTCCTCTCTCTGTCCATGATTCCTGGCTCTATGTACTGTCCTGTCTTTACAATAAAGGCATTAAAAGCCCCAAATCCAGCAAGTATGGTTTGAATACATTTGGTACCAAGATAACTTTTTTTTTATAGTAGAAAATAATCCCTTTTGTTGGGGCCCTATGAGTTATCTCTTGTTGATTATTACCATTTCTGCCAATGTCTACATTTCCAATCCATGAAACTTAAAGTCAGTTACTCCAAGTAGCTGAACATGACAATTTTGGTATCTATTTGTCTCAGCCTCATACTGTTACTTCTGGCTTCCAAAAGCCGAGATGGCAATAACCCCATATTCCACAATTCAGCCTTCAAAACGGTGATCTATAAACCAATGGACAACATGCTAACTGATAAGTCTAATAAACACTATATTGTTTGGCGGTATGTAACAAATGTTTGCATACTAAAGTACTCAGATGTATAACAGGGTAAACATTATGGTATTTACAACACATCTGAACATTAGCTCTTGTCAAACTGATGATAGCACTGTGACCGAGAACAAATGCAAGTCTTAAACTTGAAGTTGTATTTGAGAAGTTCTCCAACATTTATTGAATGACTTTTCTTGCCAGCAGGTGTGTGTGGATCCGTCTAAAGTTCAGGAGGGCCACTGAGAAAAACTACAATGTTTAGCTTGACACAATTTGAGAATGGATGTCAACCTGCCAAGAAATGACTACTGAATGATTCAGATATTTCAGCTCCTGGACCTCCAGTAATCTCTGAATTTAAAAAAAAAAAAAAAGCTGTTTATTCTTTAAAATATACTTCTGGATGTTTGCTGTGTTGTAACTTTTGTGTTGTATTACTTGACCACCAGCGGTATGAATAGAAGAGAGAGACGTAATACCTAATCCTTTCACTGATTACAAAAAGGAAAGGCACCTGTGGCTTTGGCCAAATATGGGCTTCCGACTAGGCATAAATAAGGAAACTAAAGGGCAGAAAATCCCACTACAGGATGATTATTACCCAAGTCAATGTATTTATCTTTAAATGTACAAGTCCATGGCCCTGTAAAAAATATAAAACCCTTTCTGATTATGATTATTTTTTGCCTGATGACAATATTAATCTTCATCTGTGAATCAATCAAATTTCCAAGAACAATTCTATGCTCTTTTATGCAATATATGAATTATCTTAGATACAATTAATTTCTTGTTTCTGCTGCTGCAACGACCAAAATGAGCTTTGTATGTCGCCTACTTGTCTCTAAAGACTGAAGTATGATTCATTTCTATGCTGCAACGTAAAGCGTTTCTTATAACTGAGTCCCTCGAATGTTACATGCCAGGTTCACATGCAGGCTGCAGAGCTAAACTGTGTAACTGATTTGCTAACAAGCCCTGCAAGCTGGAAATGCTGCTCAGGTACTAAACCCTGAGAAATACATGTGTTTATACAAAAGGCATTCATTAACATCCACTTCCGCTTTTCTGAGATATAGCAATACAAGATGACTTCTTCAGGTAATTGTCAACCAACTTGCTCGAAGGGGAGTGAGAGACGGTTGTTAAAAATCAACAGTAACTTCTAAGTTACCGAAGTAGGACATCAGTTTTTTGATGACTTTTATTCCTGGTTAAGCATCTTTGGATTGGTTTCTTCTTACTTTCAAAATGGTGAACATTAGCCGAGATATGATATATGTTATAAAGAAAGGTTACCTTCATTATTTTACAAAAGTGAATTTGACCTGAAATCCTGTTGATTGATTTTTTAATTTGTAACTTCTATCAGCCATCTGGTGCTAAACTTGAAAATCGGGTCATCAGTGTGCAGCTGTAGAGCTCAGACTATTACGTGGCCTAATATGAAACTCACCGTTTCAACACTAGGTGGTGCTCTAGTATTTCTTAATCCATAATTTAAGGCAAGAATAATCAGCCTTCCCTCTGTTGACGGCTTTTTCTGATCATTTTTTATTTTTTTTGTACCTCATGAGTCTGGCCTTTAATTTAGTTGTTGAGTAATCGATGTGACCACACTTTTATGTATTTAAGTCTGTTTGAATTCTCAGTCATCGCTGAGATGAACAAAGTTAAGAGTTTGATTATTTTTCTCCTATACTGTCTCTGGTTCAGTGCCTGTTTTTAAATTGATTTCTGCTCAGATTGAGAGCAGACAAACACTTTGCGTGTGTGGGGGGGGGGGGGGGGGGGGTTGTATTGTGTGTGATTTTCCTTGCTCTCAGTGGTACTGAAAGTGCAATAAAAATAAAGTTGTCTGGATTGATTAATCAAAAAAACACAATAATGAAGTGGCTCTTCACAAGTAATAACTGACAAACAATAAGAGAAACAAAAATGAATCCATAGTCTTTGATTCATGGTGCAAATTGATCGTTCTTTTTTTTTTTTTTTTTATAACTCACACTCAGAACACAACATTTACATATCAGTGTGACACATGTTTTTCTGATGGCAGCCACATAAAGACACAGGACATCACTAGCTGAGTTTAAAGTGGACAAAGACAGCATTGACTCGCTGCTCTCTGTCTCATCTCCATCGGCTGACATTTAGCCAACTCTCAATCAGAGGCCTGAGGCAGAGCCAGGACAATGTGACAGGAATCATAATCTTACGGGTCTATCTTTTCTCACCTCGTCTATTTGCTTTACATATAGGGTTTCTCCTTTCCTTTACATATAGGGTTCAGTGAGCATTGAGGGAAAAGAACGACGATCCATTCATGATAAGAATGAGTTATCACCAAAGCCTGGTGTACTCCCTCATACGCTCATGGAGATGTTTATTTATAGTGTTTTTTTTCCTCGTTGTTTTGGCTCAATCCTCCAAAGACAGATGAAGTTGTCTGAAGAACTTGTGAAATTCTTCACAGAACTTTGTTCAATGTGCAAAACACAAAGAGCATTTTTTTTTTATTCTGTTGCCATTTGCAAATGTTTAAGCACATTTGAGCAAATGACGTGTATAGGTTCATTCTCAGTTGAATAGTTTCTTTCTTCAAATTAAGTGCAATTTTCTTATTACGTAGGACACTGAGTACAGAAAAGAACATCGTATTGTTGTTAACTCTGCTGTGATGCTTTGACTGGACTGACACAGAGCTGCAGTGAAGTCTGCTGGCCAACTTGATAAACTCATGTGAGGTTTTGGCCGAACAGACAGGAGGGACAGGATGTTTTAATAATGAATTTTAGGCTTCTGTGTTGTTGGACTATTGCAGATACACAGTACAATCCTCAAAGACAGTTTTTTTTTTTCCTCAAATGGAATACTTAGAGCTCTTTCACATTACACAATGAAATGCGAATACTTTGTTCTTTGACATCAGCGTACAAAATATTTTCTCCTTTATACACAAAAGGAGTCAGCTAGCTTAAAAAAAAAACAGACTGTTTGGATATTAGGAGATGAAAACTCACTTCTCAATGGACTTTAAGTCTAACAAAACTTCTGAAGCTTGTGAAACCTCCTTTGTAACACACTGCTAAAGTTTTGGACTAAACTGCAGGGTTTTGCAACGTGTTTTAGCTGTTTCAAACAAAGACAAGTTTTGAGAAAAGTGCCAAAACAAATGAGGGAAAAACAAAATGAATAAGGGGCCAACTGATATTGGATTTTCAGGGCGGATACTGTTACTGATGATCAGTAGTTAAAGAGACTGATATTTGGAACTGATATGCATTTACAGTAAAATTAAAAATCTCTCTGTAATATTCCAAATTCTAAATTTTGACAAAGTCCAACACAAGACTTTGTTTAAATGCTCAACTGGAGACTCTCCTCCTGCTCCAGGCGGCTCTCCTATCTGTGCAGGTCAGTGGCACCGGGGCTTCAGTGTTGATTGGCTATTACCAGTGTGACGTCAAGCCTATCAGAATGTGTTGTGGGCGGGACATTCGACGAGACAGAGTGGTGAGATAAAACAGACCCAGAGGGAAAGACACACCTGCAGCAGAGTCAAAGTTGCGCACTTCTTTATTAATCCATTTCATCTGCGATCGGTACCGAGACAGATTATTAGCTAGGCCGGTTATCGGGTCGACCCCTGAAATGAATACCCGTCTATCAATCCCTATGAGGAGGAGGAAGTAGCACTTTTTAGGTTGTATTATAACTTGTCAACTCATGCAGGTCTTCATGATTCAGAATATGCATCAACACAGAGGGGATCATCTCTTCTCTACTCAGGTCATGAGGCAGTCTTTTTAAGAGATGTATCAGTCAACTATCCACATTTCTCCAGTCACTCAGTCAGTCCCCATAGTCCTGGGTGGAAAATGGCCTGCAGTTTCTCCCTCCCCTCCCAGACATCTCCTCAGGCCCAAAATAGAGTCAAGGATATGTGGCATGCAAGCAGACGTGTCGGCAGAGTAAACCAGGGCTACTCTACGACACTGTTTTCAAACCTGCTACTGGTGAAGCAGTTAAGACATTACGCTCTTGTGGAAGTTAGCACACGACTGGATCAGTTGTTTATTGAAGTTTTACTGTTCCGGGAAGGTCGGGGGTCCATCCCTCATTCTGGGCAAGAAAACATTTCAATAAGTATCTGAATCTTATCTGACGCCACAAAAGTCTGAAGTTGCAGCCTCTTTCAAACAATATTCCCTCTTTATTGTTTTTAGTTCAATAGAAAAAAGTTAAATTTTCCTAAAAAATTATATTTTCAGTAACACACTTGCAGTTTTTAAACAAGGAAAAGGGTTGCAAAGCAAAACAATAACTGAACCTCTCAGAAAATGTCTTTGTGTGCATCTCCAGCAGTGTCAAGAATCCTAAAAGAGAACTATTAATTTGTATTTGAATGTGTGCACAGTAGGGCTTTTATAGTGTCGTTGATGTTTGGACTGAGTGTAAAGCCTTATCCTCCAACAGTCCAGACTTTAATATCATGTGAATAGAAGTTTAGGTTCAGTGGAGCGTTTAAAGACTTCAATCAGGAACTCCCGCCCAGGGTTCTTAAAAGCCCAGCAGCCGATCACATCTGGAGCTCTGTGATGATAATGACTGCTAAGAGACACTTTCCACTCTGTAGTCCAGATGGATGAGCGTGTATGTACTGAATCTGTTGAGCCATGTTGTATTGACTTAATTATACTTTCCTGCTTAATGCTGTAATGGTTATTAGCCCTTTATCTCCTAAAAACATGCAATACTGTTTTCATTGTTATTAATTGGAGGTATTTCAATCAATCAATCAAACTGTATTTGTATAGCACTTTTCATTCAGTGAGGTAGCAAAGTGATTTACATTAAAATTAATCAAGCAGCATCAACATGACCACGTCGCCCAACCCCAGCCCCCTACCCACAATCCATAAACAATGTAAGAAGGAACTAGATTAAAAAAAAAACAGGTACTTACGGACTGAGGGAACGCTATCATGAATTCTTTAATCTGTTAAGACTCAATTGTTCTTATCGTTCAGTTTGAAAACTTGCAAAGCTGACATTAAATCCTCTCAGGGGGATTTAAAGGTGTGGATCAGACTCTACATTAAAATGTTAACACAAATCCAGGGGTGTAAAGCAGTTGCCACTCAAGACAAGCTTATAAAAAGGTACTTATAGCAGGGCTGCAGGTGGAGAGTGTTTTTAATATAAATCTGCTTTTGTTACTCCTGTAGCGACAGGTAATTATGTATGGGGTTAAAGGAAAAAAAACGCCCAATTGGAGTTTGCAATAACTCAAGTTAATGTGTTACCATTGCTTGATTTGTGCAAACAACGGTAAAGTTTGATTCTTTAAAGAAATTGCAACACTCTTATTCAGTTCTTATTTTATATTAAAAATCCTTCAATCTGTTTCCTTCAATGGAAGCGTTTTCACACCGTGTTCAGTTTCTTATTTACTTTCTTATTGACTTTGTATGACAGAAGAGGAAATGCAATCTCTGTGTTCATAAATCCTCCCGGGGATGATTCATTGGTTGTTGGAAACCTTCAGAAGGACAAAGCTGTTGTTCAGCACAACAAACACTTCCACAGTCCAGTGTCTACAGAGAGGATTCTGCAGAGCCCTGAAAAAACCCCCACTAAATAATACAAAGAAAGAAAAAAGAAAGAGGAGTGTAAATGGAAGTCTGTCTGTATTGTAGTCGACATGTGAAAAATATGATGTTTTTTCTTCAACTTAACTCAGGTTACTGATTGTTTTCTCAATGTCTATTTGTCTTTATCATTTTATAGTAGTCAATGTCAAACTATTTATTTGTTTTTCTTTGTTAGAGCATGTTGGATGTGTGTTGTTGATGGTCTTCTAAACTTTTATTTTTAGCTCATGTGAGGAACTTTCTGTATGTGTCCATTTTGGCAACCTCCGTGGACAAAGAGGTGCCCCCTTTTCTTTTATCTGGTCTTGTGTGTCAGATGCCTAAGTAGAGTTTCTGACGTAAAATGGTGTCTTTTTATGCCTTTATTGTAGAGATAGGACAGTTGATAGAGTTGGAAATCAGGGACAGAGAGAGTTGGGTATGCACTGTGAAAACAAAAAGTCATGATAACATAAAGTTCTAAGTTAGTTTTACTTCAAGTCTATGAAAATGTTGAATTAACTCAACTAATTGAAAGTTTTCCAACTTTAAGAGTGATTCATATTAACTTAAAAATGGCGAGCTCTATTTTCGATTCAGACGAGTTTTATTCTTACGTCGGTGTAGCGAGGGGGTTTCGGGGATGTGGATGGAGATGTACCTGTGCTGGGCAGTGAGTCTGAACGTGCGCTCTTTTGTAATCTGGAGAGTGGCTGGATTTCCCAGTTTTCTTGGTGAGTAAAGATGGCGTGCTCATGATGTCGAGTCTTTTGGAACAGTGGTCGAAAAAGTGGTCGAGGTAGTCGAATTCTCAGAGGGGACCAGGTCGGAAAAAGAAACTCAGTCAGAGTCCCTCAGTCTTTCACCAGACTCCCTCTTTCCCTACCATCAAAAGCTGTAAAAAGAGGAGAAAACAACAGCAGAAAAAACAGCAATTTATACAAAAGGAAAAATTGATGATGGCAAATGCAATCAAATCAACTTTATTGCTCGTCTTTCACATGTCCAAGACTCTAATCACCATTCAACTGATAACTTAGCATTTAAAGGGATACAATCCTGAAAATAATTCAATGTTTGGTAGTTTCGAGCAAGTCAGAAGTTTTTAACTTCACAGCAGAAAATATAAATACATTTGAGGAGTGCACAAGGGTTAATGTTGTCTTACCTTCATATACTGAAGAAGCTCGTCACGAGGCAGGATACTGCTCTCCACTGTGGTGGCGATCAGCTCTGCAGCCGGCTCTTTGTCCAGCATGAAGAACTCCACACTCCACTTCCCTGTCAAAGTCAGTTCAGTTAGAATGTTTACAGCCAAAACCAGCTTAAAACGCAGTCGGAAAAACATCAGTGATAAACATATAAGACGGATGAGGCAGCAAATATATATTCCAATACAGCTTAATTAATGGATACACCACCACAAAGCATTATCTCCGTCTTAAATAAGGGCTGTAAACTAAAAGTTTCAGATATTTGTTTAAATCTTATACACTTGTACGACAGAAGATTAGGGCCACGTTAAAAAAACCAAACAAGTTTAATCTCGAAATGTTTTTTTTTTTTTTTTTAACGGGGCCCTAATCCTCCGTTGTACACTTGTATATCTTAAAATGGGTTTTTCATAAAAGACACCTTCTCAAAGACTGAAAGTGAAAGTCTGCAGTCGTATTTCTTGTGTAGGTTCTCCACCTCGTTGGAATCATAATTATCCTCCTTAAAAAAATAACAAAATTAAAACAAAATTAGAACATAGGTCAGGTAGGCTATAGGGCAAGTGCAGTTACATCGTTATCCCAATGAAAGGATTTTCAACAATCACATCGCTATAGTCATAATTTATCGCAAGAACATTTTATTTATGCAGACAAACAATGTTTTCTCACTCAGCATGTTTACATTTTACTGTGATTGGTTCGGATCAGCCCGTAGACTATGTGGTTATATGTCAGTTGCATACAAAGGCAGCACTTGTAGTTGCACTATCATCCAGAGCTCGACCGATAAATCAGCCCGCCGATAATATCTGCGGATATTAGCATATCCAGTGACTGCTCAGAACAGGCTGTTTCTGTGTCTGTAGCTTTAAATGTAAATGAGCTGTGTCTGACCCCGCCCCCCTCTCTGAAAGAGGATGTGGCTCTTTGTGTGGACTTTCTCACTCCATGCCAATTTTTTGCTGTGAGAAGGCAGACTCAGAGGGCAGAACAAAGACGTAGCTGCAGTAACGCCTGTGGAGCAGGAAAAAGAAGAGGATTTACTTTTCTAATAACTGATGGTTTGTAGACAGACTAGGAACACATTAGAGTAAGAAAATCATGGTTAAGTGTATTTTGCATATTATGTGATTAGGAATTAGGAAACACAGACGTTACTATCATCCATCCATAACAAGCTAACTTAACTACAACAGATAAATCATTGATCAGTGCAGCACGGTACCTCGGTGTCTTTTTCATATTTTTTCTCCTCTTCTTCTTCTTCTTCTTCTTTATCGTCCCTGGGCTCCTGAGGGCTTTGTTGTTGTTTTTTTTTTTTACATTGTTATGTTGTTTATAAACGTGATAGTAATCGATGTGATCAGTGTCACTCACTTCTAATGAGTCACCTGCTCTCCTCCCCCACAATAAGCAGACGAGCAGGTAATGAGCAGCGGGGTTGTGATGCGCCGCGTCAAGCAGGAGGCAAGAAAATAGAGCCTTTATAAATATGTGATGTAGTCTAGTTGTGTTTTCGTGGCTTCTTCTGTAATATTACTAAATAAAGCATGACAATTATATTATATAAATAATATTTAGAGATTTTCAAACGCATTTTCATTCTATTTCTTCTTCTGATCTTCAACTTTTCTCCCTCACTCATTTGGGGCGCCAGTGGGGCCTCCTATAGAAGGATGGCGCCCCTAGCATTTGACTATACTGCCTATGGGCCGGCCCTGGACAAAACCATGCAGAGCAACGATTCAGAGAATAATCCTGAAACACAGACGGATGAGATTCTTAATTCCCCCGTGTTACATTGCACAGCTCCTTTTTGTTAAAATTGGTACAGAGTTTTCTCAGAATCATATAAAAAGTTTACCTTAAGAACCCTCGTATTTCTGTGTTCCTCTGGATCAGGCCTGAGTTACCCATCTTTCTCGGGTTTGAGTGACCTCCCCTGCTGAAAGAGAAAACCCAGAGTTTCCCTCATTTCAGGGTTAACTGACTGAAAAGGGCCCCTGTTCATTCAGCATGTCATGAAGGACTATTTGTATACGGTAGCTATGCTCATGGGTCTGCTGTATGCAATTACATTGACTAACAAAAGGAAGTGCAGTATACATTTAGAGTCATACAGAAGAACCTAATGAATATCGGTGGTGATCACTGCCCCTTCAAGGGTCCATGGACTGAGAAAAAGACTTCTTCGTAAAGCTATAGGCACTACACTGAGGTCGGGAGTTTTCTGAAAGTTGTCAAAAAATATTTGGAAATTGTCTCAGATCTTTTCTGAAGTGTTTGTTTTACCTTATTAAGATCACCTCATTAAATGTGTAAATTATTGATTTTACAAGTTTATTGCATCTGAAAGTGCGGAGAAAAGTGACCGATTAATGGTAAATGCAGCAAAAGAAAGACGACTGTTTTTTGCACATTCTTGGGTGGAAATGTTTTTACCAACAAGCCAGCACAGTATTTTAGTGAAAACATTTGTAAATGTTTAGATGTGCTATTTGATCTGATCTGCTATTAAAAGGTTGAAGAACTTAAGTTGGTTGGTTTCTATGATAAAATGAATAACCTGTAGAGATGATACCTTTTTTTTTTTAAATTGTTATTTGAAAAGAAGTTGAAAGTTTCCACAAAAGCAAAGCGAATCAATAAAAATGTATAAACTGAACTGATTTAAGTTGACTAAAATAGAAATATATTCAATTTAAATTGATGAATTCATCTAACTCAATATTTTAGGTGGTTTAAAATGTTCCACGCTTTGAGGACTATAGCCTCCATACATGGGGCGTGCGCACTAACCACTGTGCCACAAGCGCCCCAGCAACTAGGTGACATACAGGAAACGAGCCACACATTGGATTGTCGCCTGGGCCGTCCGCCGTATATGGGGCGCATTCTAACCACTACGCTACCGGCGCCCCCAATCCTGCTGTCTTTTACCGTCAGTGGTATCACTCACTGGGAATCTTTACAGCAGAAAATGTAAAAGAAGTCTGTTTCTTCTACTGCTTACCAACTCAACTTACTTCTACCCAGCGGCAGCATTAACATATTTGAAAGTTAACGTTCGTTATCTGCTAAAAACTTCTCACAGTGCCTTTAACTAAACAAACTAGAAAGAAGAAAAGCAAAATAACTGATGTTAAAATCCTCTTTTGAGTATGTAGTTTCAATTTAGCACCCTTGAATGAATGAGTCTGTTGTTAAGATGAGTAACACATGCAGGTACACAGCTTCTGTGTTTAATACCTTTATTTTCTAAGCCTTCCTGAACCAAACAGTGGACTTGTATTCTTTACTTTAGTCTGTGGAAAAAGTGTAATCTCAAGTGTAGAATTACAAGTACTAAACCAAAGGATAAGGTTCATAGTGAAGTCTGGATTTCCTGTTAGAAAGAATCATAATAAAAGTAAGCTTAGACTGAGCCAACACGGGAATAGAAATCAAACATTGTGTCCTTCTTCACACATGAAATGCTCTGTCAGTGTATCAGCACTGATAATAATTTGAATGCTGTGATAGAGTGCACGACCCTCAGTGGATTTAGTGAAAGGCAAGTGATGAATTCAAAAACCCCACAAAAAGGGAAATCATATCCGCGCTAAGCAATGAAGCAGCTCTGTGAGATTCTTTTCTGGCAGAGGGAGGAGAGCAACTCATGCATGCAGCTGTCAGGTAAAATGTATGTTCGTACACACATCCGGACATAGAAAACACAACGGTGATTTATTCTTCTCTATCATAAGACGTCTCTTGCTCCCCGCCCCCCCCCCTCCCCGTCTTCTCCTTCTCCCTCTTTCCGCCTCTCTCTCTGCCCCCCCTCGCCACCTTCCCCCCTCGACACAGTTGTAGGGAGCCGAGCAATGATGCGTGTCTCGGTGAAACCTGGTGAATAGTAATGAAGCGAGCCTGTGTGTTTATTTGAGGGTGAGCGAGAGGGAGACAGAGAGAGCGGGTAGGGAAGGGTTTGTGAGGAAGGAGGGAGAGGAGGTGGGGTGGTGGTGGTGGTGGTGGGGGGCAGACTGTGAGTGAAAACAGGGCTTCTCTTGCGGCACTGATGCAGCACCACAAGCAGCAGTTGTGACAGACAAGAAATATCGTTGTGTTAATCCTTTACACGCTTTACATAGCCGCCGCCCCCCTCCCCCCCATGCTCATCAGGACCATTTCTGTGACGTCACTCATTAAAAACTGTATATTTTTTTCTTGTTGTGCTTCATTATACAGTGGCTCATTCTCCCCCTCCTAACACAGACACACGGGGGGAGAAGGAGGGTGCATTGGTGGAGGAAACGGATGGAGGGAGGGGGAGAGAAGGCTGTGAGTGAATGTGGCTCAGAGAGGGGCAACAGCACCTGCTGTCTTCATCCCAGATTCACCAGGCAAAACAGCATTCTCCCTGCACGAGTGATGGACTGTTAGGGGGACAAAGAAGGGAGAAAAGAGGCCCAAACAAAGACTAAAAGACTCCAGGATCTTCAGATCAGTGCGGACTGACTGAGCCACTGCTCATTTGGTGATTATTTCAGTCCTGGGTTGCTTTCTTTCACTGAAATTTAAAACCCTGTCAGCGCAGGATGTTGGAAACTCAAACCTGAGGCATCCCAGAGTAATAAAACGGGCATCCTTTCACATGAAATGGAATTTGAAAAAAAAAAAAATGTGGGTTTGTGTTTACAAACGAGGAGTAAGTGACTGGAATATTCAGGAACTGACTGCAAAGATCAACTGGAGTGCCAGGGCTGAAAGGAAGGGAACAAACACAATAGTCAGCCCCCCTACCTCAGCCCCTTCTTTTATCCTTTTCCATCCAGGACCCACGGGCACTCTGCCAACCTGGAATCTTAAGAACTCATTCAAAGAAAGCCAAAGACCGAGACTTGTTTAAAAACCAGGACCCATTCTCTCACAGTCTCTTGTTTTTCCTTACACTTCCCACGTGAAGAGGGATTTTTTTTAGTTGCTGTTTTCTCGCAATGAGGAGGGGGGGGGGGGGAAGGGGGCGTTCAAGAATTGTCATTCATGTAACGTTTCGTCAGATTCGAGGATTGAGAGTATTGTGAGCGAGTGATCTCCCTATTGGGCCTCTCCCTCTCTCTTTCTCTCTCTTTCAGTTTTCATTCTGCTTTTACTCCCTCCACTTTCACTCGCTCCTGCTCACATAGTAACTCCTCCTCCCCCCCACACACTCTACCCATTGTCTCTCTATACAGTATCAGGCTGAGGGGATGCCATACTCGATCCAGCCAGGGACACGAGAGAGGGAGAAGAAGGTAAGAGGCAGATTTATAGCGTAAGAAAGCGTCTGGCACTAAATGCACGTCAGTGTTACTTTTTGAAGTGTGAAGTGTTGCAGCTTAATATAGCTGTTTGTTTTCATCTGAAATGACAGTGAGGGTGCATCCCTGATGCTCTGGGGGGGTTTTATGTGTTGTGTGCAATGTTTCAATGTGTTTGGACTGTCTTGTCTGCTAGAGGAAGGTGTGTTTGAATGCTCTGAAAAGGGGAGCACTGCAGAGTAGAATACATCAGGTGCCACCACTTGACTTTTCTTCATCTTTATATTCAAAACAAAAAAGTGTCTGGATGTTATGTTTCAAGCTGAATCCTTAGAGATTTCTACAATTTCTTGGAGAACATTTCCACGCTGCTCAGTCTTTTAGAAGAAAATGTATTTAAATGTATATAGAAATTGGCAATAATCTAAAGCTATGAAAACATATAGCTACTGATTCCCTGAATTGGCTCCCAGTGGAGGCATATTTAGGGCTTTTTAGGGATTACAGCTAATGTTGCCCTGTGGCTGAGATTCACCTTCTTGTCTGGACAGCGTCTGACACTGAGTTTTTTTCTGCTTCTAATTTTTGCTGAGACATGCATGAGCACAGGCTCCCTGGAGCACTGGAGCCATGGTCCTATATCAAACCTGGAAAATGCTGATTGGGTAAACACTTTCCGCTCGATTAGTAGTCCATGTTCTCTGTCAGAGGTCATGTGAACATGCAGCATATGTAAGGGCGATGGGGAGGTAAATCTCAGTATGTAAGCTGTTTGTTCAATGTCTAAGGCTGCGGACTAAACAAGATCCAGCTGTGATTCTATTTCTTTATATTAGAGTTAGGGTCATATGATGGAAGTTAGGATATAATGGAACTACATGAACTTGACAGAATAAAAAAAGTTTTTAAAATGTGGTTTTTCACCCTTGCATTGCCAGTAAAACATGAAACAGGTGCATTAAAAGATGACTAGAAGTGGTCCTCTCAGTGCTGGACAGTTGCAGCCTAGTACAGGAAGCTTTGTGTGCTTGTTCAGAGAGAGAGAGAGAGAGAGAGAGAGAGAGAGAGAGAGAGAGAGAAAAAAAGAGGCTGTCTCAATGGGGCTTTTGTTGTTTGAGTTGGAGACAGCAAAAGCACAAGAAACACTGACTGACAAATACCTGGCCCCTCTGTGCCTCAAATACCTCAGCATTGCACTTGATACAATGTCAACAAATGCCTCCTCTGTCTTCTCAGCCCGTTTCCTCTCTGTCCACTGGATTTTTTTTTCATGTTTTTATAAAGGCTACTGTTTTCTGAGCAGACATCTGGGGGAGCAGATTTGGCCTGCATAGCTGGAGTGTTGAGTCTCTCCTCTGTGAGAGGTCGAAAACGGTCCAAAGCTCTTATTTTAGCTCAGCTTAGTGTTTGATATATAGGCTGACAGTCATCTGTTTCACTTCAATGCAGAAAAGTATCATTAAACTATGAATGAACTTATAAAAATACAATCAGCATATATTCATGTTTCTGTGCATTAATGAAGCTTGACTCATCAGCATGATCGCTTTGATTGCAGAAACACTGCATGGCAATGCAAAAGCTTTGTATCTGCAAAAATCTGTTTGGTCGTTAATAAAGCTGCTAAACCCTCTGCGCCTGGTGGTTGAATTAAAATGCTGAGGTAATGATCTCCTTTGTGCTTGAAGAAGTCAAGCAGAGGGCTGCTACAGAATATAGAAAGACTTTACGTAATCTGTTTTGAATTCAGAGACAAAATCCTTTTGATTAACATTGCACCTCTTCCCTGTAGACTTTGATTTGAAACTGCATTTTTAATCAAAGATTATTCCGTTAACCCCCTTAAGGAACCGAAGAGCTTGAAGAATATCCCTGAATGATTCAAGCATTGCGTAGGGGTCAATTTGTTTGAGATTTCGCTGTAAAAGGAAAAAAAAATCCACTTCCTTCTGTCTGAAGTCTCACAAGACAGATTCATTTTACTCCCCTGGGCCTCAGATGAATACTTGCCGTTTCTTTGGTTAATTATTCATGCGGATGTGAGTTTGAAATCCTGAAATGCTCCCTGCTACCTGCCCCTGTTGTTTCCTCTTTGTTGTCAAGCTTTCAGCTCTAACTGCATGATTTCTCAAACTGCTTTTGAAGCAGTTTTTGTATTTTATCTTCCAAGTCTAACCACAGCTGTGTCATATGGCTTTCTATTCCTATGTGAGTTCTTTCTAACACGTCATGTAGGGTTCAAAGCCATTGGATACACAGTGGACAGTCAACTCCAGACCTCTGTTTGATGACTTTTTGACATTCCTTTATTCTCTAGATTATATACAACGTCAACACCACAAACCAAGCCTGAAGTAAAGTTATCATTTGACACTTTTCCTGAAGCTTGTGTGACATTTTGTTCAGCTGAGCTATTTCTAGCTTTTTAAACCTTATGTAATGAGATCTACAAACTCTGTAGCCTACAGCAGCCACGTCATGCATCTTGACTTTCACCAACATTTTGGAAGTGTCCTAAAATACACTTCAGATATTTTCCTTCAGATATCTGCAGATGGTTAATGGAACTAAACAGCTATTCTCCTGCTTTTTTCAGGCAGTTTAATTTACATTAAAAAGCTGTATGATCTAATTCATATACTAGGAAGCTAACTCTGGGGAATTTCATGAGGGGAATTCTACCCCACCTGTTAGCATCAAGTGGAAGTTCAGAATAGTTTTTAGATAATACGACTGATTAGGCCTACATGAGCAAAATATGTCATGTGCGATAACATAATACAATATGAGGTGCGTTAAATAAACAAACAAGTGGTCAGTTCCTTTTTCTATCATGTCTGTCTGAAGTCTCACAAGACAGATTCATTTTACTCCCTTGGGCCTCAGATGAATACTTGCCGTTTCTTTGGTTAATTATTTCATGCGGATGAGAGTTTGAAATCCTGAAATGCTCCAAAAAACATTTTTTTCCATATATCCATCATGGTGCTCATTCACTGAAAGTGAACCGGGAATCAAAATTGGAGCAGATTATTTGCCGACCTTTAGCAGTGCTGAGCTGCATAATATCAGTCATAAATATAACATTTCTTCATAAAAACTTGACATTTATTAAAACTTTACCATTTGAGCATTTCATGATTTAGTGCAGGAAGTAACTGCTTTAGGGTATTTCATATTGATCTATATTACTCCGATTTTTTATTGTGCCCAGTGGAGTATATCATCTAGCTAGATTATAGATTAGAAACTGTATCGTGATGGGAACATGGTGTGCACCTCAGCCAGCTGAGCCATCTCAGCACTTGTAGAAAAAGCTCTTCAAATGTGGCCCCTTGTGGTTCCTACCCGCCTCCCTGTCAAGTAGATTTTGTAAAAGGATTTCAAGAGCATTCAGTCCTCTGACCACTATAACTCTCTGTTAAATCTCTACCGACTCTGAACTTTGTAGTGTCCATGTTGAACTTTTTGAATTAATCTGTATTCTCTGTGCAAAGTAAGTACAAGTAAGTCAATCCTTAGACCACTTTAAGGACATTTGGCCCTTTAAAATTCTATCTATGACAAAACCTTGTAAAATCTTTCTTAAGACTACAGCCGATTATAACGTTTCACTCATTCTAACAATGATGCTCTGTCTGAGTACGTTTTACAAGTGCTACGAGGAGCTTTTTGTAAATAGAAAAATGTGTACATTCAGTTTTACTCAAAACACATTATGCATTTAAAGCATTTTATGTTACACACGAACAGTTTCATCGGTTGAAGTGTTGTTTTTTTCTCTGCCTTTGTAATCACGTTGCAGCATACTGCCACCTGTTGATCAGTGCGATGGTGGGAAATGATTGAGCAGATTGTGTAGCAACTCGTCTACATGATGTGCATCCTCGTAAATGTGCACAAGAGACGAAGTAATTTGAGGTAATACTGGAAAAACTGCTCCATAACTCTACGAAAGGTAAAAAAAAACAAAAAAAAAACACCACCTGCTTTGAGTTATTGGCTAAAGCTGCTTCCCAACAACTTCACATTTAATTTTTAAGAAAATGTAACCCTGTTTTCATCAGCGATACAAATACAAGCGGGCCAAAAATCTATTATGATGGATTCAAATCAGGCTGGTGTTGTTCTTGTACCCAACATTACGGTGCAGCAGGTGATTCAATCTTTTCAACCTAAACCCTCATGTTTCCACTCTAATAATAAAGCGGTATTCAAGTCTAACTATCCTACATGACTTTCTGATTGGATTTCTGTTTTGTTTTTTTCAAACGGCTACAGCATGTTAGGAAGGTGCTATCTGCTATTAAAAATTGACCTTTTCAAGAATAATAATTATTGTAGTCCCGATTCTTCCCCCTCAGAACAGTCACGTATTCACAGAGCATGATACCTGTAAGAACAGCTCTAGTCACTTCAGTACCACATGTTAAGGATGTCAGGCTACATTCATTTTACTTCCTAAGCTCAATGACAGTTACCTTTCAAGTAAGACGCCAGTATCCAGGTTATATTTCAGACCTAAACCTACCAGGGAATTTCACTCAAGGAGAGCACCAATAGCTCGTTTTAAGAAGCAGAGTTATACTTTGATGACTCATTGCTGATACTCGGCTGAAGGTGTTTGGCTAGAGAAAAATCCTTGGTAGCACATTTGGCACCCTATGCTTTGTTTTATTGTTTTGTTTTTTTCTGTTAACAGGTGTTAAGAAAGGAACTACTCACCATTTCTCATGCTAGGTGGATGCCTAAGGCCAGTAACAATGCAGCTGCAGCATGCAAGAGACCGTACGACAGCAATGACGACCAAAGCCTGTGACACACCTGGAGGTCAAAGGTATACATCGTGGTTAGAATGGAGGAATATGATTTCATAACTCGACTGTACTAGTTTAGCTACCTGTGGTTTACAATGGACCTGTCTCACAGACAGCCTTATCACAATAAAGTACAGGTGTTCACAATAAAATCACTGATACCTGAATCTATTAATCCTCTAATATTTTGGTTTTATTCTTATGGTTTTGTACATGTTGACTTACTTCTTTCCAAGGCTCACAAGCCATTTGAATAGAACACGGACAGTGACCTGTGTTTCAAAAGTGTTGATCTCTCATCCGACCACAAGTGGACAGCAGAGACACACCTGTATCTATCATGCATCTCCAGATGACTTAATTAGTCTGTCTGGTCAATATGTTGCCAGAAAGTGTCCTTTTTTTCTAACAAGGAAGCTAAGAACAAAAATGGTTGATGAACTAATATGCATTCACATTATACTCCGAGATTATCAGGACAAGGTCATATGTGACTTGCAAAAGAGGATCAGCATTGATAGCAATTTTTCCTCTATCAAAGACACATCATGGTTACATTAACTTTTACACGATAAACAATGTGAGGCATATGCTTCAGAGATGTCCACTGTGAAGGGTTTGAGAAATCTGTGCAAAAAACATCTTGGAAGTTGGTTAATGCTTTAAAATGTAGTTTTGTGATCCAACACACACACAAGACACCCTGTAAGAATGTGGAAATTGTAGCCTAGATGTATTTTATTAAGTGATGTTGAATGTCAACCCTGAAACCCTCTTTGGCAACATAAGCCACAGGAACTAGACTCAAAATTCAATTTATTGTCACTTCCATTCACTCTCAGCATGGAATAAAATACCACTCTCCCCAAATCAAGCACACTTTAAAATAGAGACAGATTGAAACAAACAAAAAAAAAAAACAGAGACCACTGTTGTCAAAGTCTTCGTTTTTTTTCAAACATTACACATAATTATGATAGACGTACAATGGTGTTAATTAAAATAAAAAAGTTGATTAAATCATTTATTTTTTATATGCTTTTTACACCAGCTTTCTAGCCAGGTAATTAATATTAGCTACTTGTTAATATTTGATTCAACCTGAAATATATAAAAAAAAAAAAAAAAAAATTAGTTACCTGAGTTAATCATGTATTTTTTTTTATTTTTTATTTTTTTAATTTGTACACGTTTTTGAAATTGTACACGTGTATTACCGTTTAGTTTAACACCTTTGGCTTGTTTTATTTATGAACGAACTGTTAACCTTGCAAATTGTCCTGTTAGTTTGCAGTGCTACATTGTTTACTATGTAATAAGATGTAACATTTAAGATTACCGTACATGCTGTCAATCAAGTGGCCGGCTGCAGCTGTTCCCTGTTCAGTCAGCCGCAGGAAGTTTGAGACCCAGGCAGAGGTTCTCCATGCGGCTCTCCATGCGGCTTTTACGGATAATTTCGACTCCAAAAAACGTTTTATAAACATATATGAGGACCAGCTAAGCGACTCAGTTTTTTACTATTTTTCACTTTCCACGTTGTCCTTGAGACATGCCGCTGTTGAAGGAGGACCCATCTTATCTGTCTAAATCTCGACTGAAGTCTGATTTGGTTGCCCACAATGTCGCGCTGCCACCTGCCAAAAGCAAAAAGGACATTTATGTGGAGTTGCACTTAAAACACATCGATCAGAAACACGCTGCGGATTTTTCTAGCGATGAGGAGGACCAAATACATGATGTGGAAGTGAGTTAATGAAACTTAAGAGCTTTATCGCAAGAGTAGCCTACTTTCGACACGTGTTCTGATCTCCATCAAAACTCGCACATTGATTAATGAGTTATCATTTTGATTTATAAGAGCAGTTGTGACAGAATAGTGTTTTCCCACTTCGCTGCTTGACATGTGAGAAATGATCCCCCAAATATAACTTGACATTATAACAAATATGTTGCATTTGAAGCCTTGTCAACAATGCTGCCTTCAGGGACATCATGACCTTTATTTGATATGACAGGTAATTTTGCATAGCAATAATAATTGGTTTAAAGTTAATCAAAACAAATGTGCACAAGCTCAGCAGCTGTAGGAGGGGAGGGGGAGGAGGGGTTGATTTGGGTCAAACAGTCCTCCCAACTTGCAGTTGCATTTGAGGTCATCTACCACTGAGCCACCGGCTGTATAGTTGGTATAGATTTACATGGGTCATCTCTGAACTTGGCAGCTGCCATTACAGTCGCGTGCATGCGCTTGCAACACCTGTTGCTCTCATTTGTGAGCCCCAGGAAGGAAAACACTTCAAGTCTGCAAGTTGTTTTGTTGCTGTCCATGGACTTTTTTTTTGTGTGTGTGTGGTTTGGGGTGGGGGTCCAAGTGCAAGTAGACACTATCAGTTCAACTCATTTTTAATAATACTCATTTTTAATTTAATCAGTTCAACTAATATTTACAGTCTATGGTTCAACTGCACTAATTATTTGTTGCAATTATTTCTCTTTAGACCCCAAGTATTGTCCAAGTAACAAACAATCCAACATTTAAAAAAAATCAAAATTTCCCAGAATGTATAAATATATTGATTGTGGTCAGAAAAACTCCCAGCACACCTTTGTATAGAGCAGCTCTAGTAATGGAGTTGTGTCTGCCTGTTATACCAACGTTTGCTATTTATTAGGACATTCAAATGACCAATAATATGCATGAATCCATAATGCAAATACATGTCAGTTGAAGCCCTAATGGTACCTAAGTGCTCCTCAACAAAGGTTGTTCAAGTGTTGTAATTAACAGCTGTGATAAAGGTTAGTATTGTTAAATACCTATCGATGTATCGCTTGATGATATCTGACATGCAGGTATCAACAGATCATACAGGATACATTTGTTTGTCTGGACATTTGTTGTGTTTTTAAAGTCTATGGGCTTTACCATAAGTATGTCTTTCACTTTGAACTTATTTTTAGGAAAGATAAATATGTTTTACACCAAAACACTGATTTAAGCTCTGATCTCTCTCTGAATTAAAAACATTTTGTTCCGTTTGGAGGATGCAGATCCAGAGGTAACAGAGATTCCTGACCCAAGTGGCTTAATTGATGACGACCTGAGGACTGCCCTGCTCGCACATGGAGTTAAAGCTGGCCCCATCGTGGGTAAGTTTACACTAAGTACTTCCTGGAAACTGGTTTTCATCAAATAAAAAGGCTTTCAGTCATTCCTAGTGTAGTTTGTGCTAAAATGTAATGTGTAATGTCTCAAGTTCAGAGTTTTTTGGCATGATTATCCTTGTCTTAAATGAACAGTTGATAAAGAAATGTTTGTCTATCCCAGCCTCCACCAGGGCCTTGTATGAGAAAAAGCTCAGGACACTGACGCAGTCCAATGGTAAAGACCATCGGAACGGAGCAGAGAAAGGTGTGTTGTACTCTGACAGTGAAGAAGAGGAGGGGGACGAGGAAGAGGATGACGGAGATTCAGGTGGGTTGATTTTATTTTATTTTTTTGTCCAGATTTTCGTTTTTTATGCTTGATATCAAGTATCTTTGTTTATGCTTTGTGTGATGTGTTCAGGTTCTGAAGGAGAAAAAGAGGAAACTGTTGAACAGGAAGGCCAGGCCCAACAAGAGAGAAGCCAGGTGAGAAAACAGTTTGAAATTCTTGTCACCTTTTGGTTGAATAGCTTTTGAATTTCTGTGTAAATAAATGGTATCTCTTGAACATCTAAAATAAGGGTTATGCCACTTCATATACTTGTGCTGGTTGATAAAAAAACTTCTTGCAGTTTTCTGTCACTAGCTTTATTGAATTTTGGACTACAGTGCCACTTAGTGGTTTAAGATTGCCACTACAATTTAGGTTTCTATTTTGACTGTTGGCTTGTTGGAATATGCACCTTTTTAATGTTGGAGTTTGTCGGCTGTATTTTTGTTTTAACTTTTATCAGGTCAAGACGTATTTTCAGAAAGGTGGTTTTGTTTACCCACAGTGCTTTTTACCATCATCAAGGCTGGTAAATACGACAAATTCAAATCGTTTGCCAATAAAGTTCTGTCAAAATGAATCTTCAGGGGACACTGATGTGTTTGTTTTCTTCTGGGCTGGCCTTTTTCTAGCGTGCTCAGCATCCTAGAAACAAGGAACCAACTCCCAAATGGAATTCAGGGAATGCATTAAAATCATCAGAGCGATGTCGGACTCAATGCTCACAGATTCCCACAGGAAATAGTATTGGATCCTCTGTAGATCAACTGTCAGGATTAAGATCAGGGGTAGGCTGACCTTGTTTTTCTTCTCCTCAAGCTGGCTATTTCTGCTGCTTGTTGTTGGCTCATTGCTTCAACAATTTATCCATTACATTTATCAACTGAATCAGCTGGTACTCGTATGAGTAATTGTTCAAGTATACATCCGATACTTCTTACAAGCTAACTACAGCCACTGTTTATTACATTTCTTTAGCTCGTTATTTCAACACTTTCTCCATTACTTTTAGCAAACGATTTCAGCTGTTAGTCTAGAACGTAGTTTATTTCAACCTCCATTACTTCAGTTAACTTATATAGCTTTAAGTTTATCATGTTAATCAAATACTATGAGCTAACTATTTAAACTGTTCATCCAGTACTTTTAGCTGTTTGTCATCAACGGCTAGCTTCCCATTAAATAGCTGTGTAAAAACCTTTATCTTTTTATACTTAATTATCAATTACTCACAACAATTCGCTATCAGTTTAGCACAATACTTTCAGCGTATTCTATCGACTATCAATTCAAATCTATTTATTCAAAATATTTGGTAATTACGCTTAGGCACCTCTCATAACAGCCTACATGTTTTTGTTGTTGGCTAGTTATAAATGACTGCTTCATGACTATAACATTACTTTAATTAAACCATAATTTAGAGCTAGTCCACAATCTTCTGTGTACCTCCTGGCTGCTGTAGGGGTTCCTCCTGGGGTACAAGCACTCCTGGTTGGGAATCACTGGCTCTCTTTCTCTGTTTTCTTCTCCACCAATTGGATATTTTTGTTTTTCAGAGAGGGGCATTAGCTTTTCACTGGTGTATAGAGAGTGTGATGAATAATGCATGTTTTTCCTAGTATGATAATAATACCAATCCTTGCAGGTTACGTCTGGATCACAATCAGTTATGCCCAACGATGGCTCATCATTTTCCTCTCGGGCCTTCAGCATCACTCAAATGGTTGAGGAGGAAAGTTAATCACATGTTTTAATCCCACCAAAATAAAAAAAAAATGACCCGTCCATTATATATTTTATTGTGAGTTATCTCCTCCGCAGCGCTCGCTCATTAATGTACGTTTGACCTCTAAACAACAGATGGAGAGTCGGGTGTCACTCTCCACCAGCGCAGACACTGAGAGTGGTTTGAATGGGAGCAATGTGCAGGACAATTGGTCGCGGTCCAGCAGGGTCAGTAGTGCTCCCGTTGTTCAGTTACACTTTCAGCTCACACTTAAGTGGTGGTTAAAGCGTTAGAAAAGTACACTTGAAGCAGCAGTAGTAGGAATCAACGAAATCAGGTTTATTATAATCTGTTACTTCCCTTTCCATAGCTTGACATGCTGATTCAAGACAAGTACAACATGAAGAACAAGACCCTGTACTACACTCCCGAGGTTTCCTTGTAAAGGGGCAAAGAAGGCACATACTTCTTTTTTTCTGGTTTTATTTAAGTGTGTATTCTTTTTCACTTTAGGGTGTGTGTGCCTAGAAGACACTCTTCTATTTTTTAGGTGCAGCTCCTTCTACCTGTCAGATTTTTTTTACTGTTTGTTGTGTAACCACAACAATACATCTTTTAAGCTTTTTTTCTGTTTATATTTGGTCTGGTTGTTCAAGATCTCTGGTTCTTACACTAATGATCAGCCTTTTCCTTCATTTCTACTGTCCCTCCCTCGCTTGGACCCTGGGTTCTGTTGGACTCTGCTGTCTGAGACTCATCTCTTTTCTTTGGTCTGCTTCGTCATTCATTTCTGCCTTCTTTTCTAGCCTCCTCAGGAACCTGTGAGAGATGTTTTCAAGGACATGTTTCCAAACACTCCGACACCCACAGGAATCTAGTAAGTTCCATACCAATGTTTTTGAAAGTTTTCAAAGTTTTTCACACATTTCATAGCGATACAAAAACACAGGGCGCCATTTGACCTCACGGTTATATTGCACCCTGTGTTTTTGTATTTCTATGTCAGCCCCATGTACTGAGGCTACAGTCCTTGAAGCCGCTGGACGGGGTTCGACCCCAACCCTGCTACGACACATGTTAGGAGTTTAGTAGTTGACTCATAAACACAAACACACTCTTGTATTTCAGCGCTTCTCGTCGGAGACCCATCAAGGGTGCTGCGGGGAGACCTATCCAGTATGCATACCCTGACTCTCCTGCCAGTCCGACGACTCTTGAGAGAAGAGAGGTCGAGCGCCGTCTTGTGCCCATCCATATTCAAATTGGGGTCTTTCTCACTGTGGCATGCCTCCTTTACCTCATTTTCGTATGTGTTGATGACAACTCATTAAGCCCAGTTATGGCCTTACTCGACAGTCTAACCCAGGAGTCAGACAGCAAAGAAGGGCTCTTGCTTCAGGCTGAGACTCAGGACATACCACAACTTCAGGAGTAACCCTGTTTTTTTTATTTCCTCTGCGTTGACTTACGTTTGTAGGTTACTTTATAGTTGATGTAAACCATAATGACTTTGTCCTGGATATCTTCAGGGAACACAAACGCAACACTTTAAGTTGATTACAGTGTTTGTGTGTCTGTATGATAACATACCTCAAAATCCAGTTTTACATTTTTACATGTTATATCAAGGCTTAAGTTGAGATTTGAAAGAGCTGAAGAAAATTGTCGAGAGCTTTTGTATTTCATAATCAAACAATGTAATCTCATAGTCACTTTTCTAGGAAGTGCTGTCACTGTTTATTGTGTGATATGTTTTAATATTTCAATTATATTTCAATAAAGGATGTTTGGCTTCATACTTCTTTTCATACAGCTGATAATGTGACGAAAAATACATGCAAACATAAAAATCTGGAGGAATTTTTCATACCAAAAGAAAACCTTTTACTAAATAAAATGAGGAGTTTACAAGTGCAAGATAAATACATGATTTGGTACAGAACAGTGAAACATGCAGCCAGGGGCGTCACCAGGAACTCAGGACCTCCCTGAAAAGACTCGTCTGTGGACCCCAGCCCAAGCCAACCCTGCACAATTAACATAACCCCACCTCCATTAAGCTTATGAACCATTGAAAGCTTTTAAACATGCTTTGTAGAACATTTGAAGCTGTATTAATAATTACAAATACTAAACATTTCACACATCAACATATATATAATAATGTATAGAGAAATAGTTGCAGTAAAATTACCAGGCTGCTGTATACTCTTAACTTGTCTCTAACTTACAAAGGCAGAATAAGTCTGTCAGTCGTGACAATGATAAATTAATTCATGTAGCAACTTTAGAATCAAGAGTTTACAAATCACTTAACCCAAACAAAACGGCCTGACCCAAGACCAATGGGACAAACGATTAAAGCTTTGAAGGGGCCTGTAGGTTTGCACTTAAGAGGTCCAAAGGTTCTGCAATATACTGTGCATGTAGCTCAGAGCCAGATCCATATGTGCTTTAAATGTTATCAGTAAAATCCTAAATGAAATTCTTAAAAGTAACTGGAGGTTAGTATTAGCATGATGTGATGTCTGTTTAAACCAGTAAGAAGCAGAGGCTGCACTTCCTGAGAGATTTCCTGACCTGATGGCAGCCATTACTTAAAAAGTTGAAGTGAACGTATGAATAAAGTCAATTTTCTTGCTGATAATTGTGTTTGCTTTTGTAGATCATAGGAGGCAGTATTAATGTCAGTTTGTTCATTACCAGCACAAAACTCCTTGAAGCAGCTTTAAATATCACGTGGCCTCACAATCTTTTCTTCAAATTTGCACAAAAGTCGATTTAATGGGTGACATTTTGGCTCTTGTAAAGAAAATGTAAAAGGGCAGAAATTCCTGTAGAGATTGATAATATCTCAATCAGAAATTCCCCACAACACCACAATTTCTTGGTTTCTAAGACTCATGGTTCGGATGTTGTGAAAAACAACAAGTTCTGTTAAATGTCCACAAGGTGGTGCTACTAACACTAATATTTAGTTGAAGTTAATTCATTTATTGTCCATGATTAATATTTACAGGATTTAACTGTAGTATATTGATGCATTTTGAGATATCTAAGAGATTGCATTGACATTGTATGTATAGGTAGCTTCTACGAGCAAAGACAAGTACTTCTATAAATGTTTATTTTAATTCAATAATTTGTTGTCATTGGTTTGATTGATGTGTGTCTGATTTTGTAGAACTCTTACTTTTGCTGCACTGTAAAAAAAAACTTAGTTGCTAGAGGGAAAGAGGGAAAGGCCCCCGGTCTCAGGGTGCTGGTGAGAGACAGGGAGATCAAGACTGTATGGCTGTGTCAGAATCATAGTGAATAGGTAGTCAATCTTTGTAGAATTTTATTTTCATGGTTCCTATTCTGCTAGGATGGTTGTTTTTCTAAAATTGGAATACAGTTTCAACCGACCTGGACCCCCTGGAGAATTGTTTTGACGACTTTTTCGACCACTGTTCCAAAAGACTCGACATCATGAGCACGCCATCTTCACTCACCAAGAAAACTGGAAATCCAGCCACTCTCCAGATTACAAAAGAGCACGTTCAGACTCACTGCCCAGCACAGGTACATCTCCATCCACATCCCCGAAACCCCCTCACAAGTTAATATGAATCACTCTTAAAGTTGGAAAACTTTCAATTAGTTGAGTGAACACAACATTTTCATAGACTTGAAGTAAAACTAACTTAAAATGTATGTTATCATGACTTTTTGTTTTTACAGTGTGGTGGACTCTTCTCTGTATCTAAATCATACTTTGAGCATATTAGGACGTATGATAACCAGATGGAGTTCTGGGCGGGGGAGAATTTGGAAATGTCCTTCAGGCTAAGAACATTTTCAGTCTTTCTTTAATTCCTATGTTTCACGTGGTTTGAACAGTTTTCAGTTATTTTGTGCTGTGTCCTCTCTGCTTCAGGTCTGGCAGTGTGGAGGTCACCTTGAGATTATACCTTGTTCAGTTGTAGGGCATATTTTCTGCAAACTGAGCCCCCATACCTTCCCCAAACGCCAGCACTGTGGACACACACAACCTGGTGCGGCTGGTTGAGGTCTGGATGGACGACTACAAATGGATCTTCTACCGCACACACAGGAAGGCTTCTTCTATTTTTGAAGAGGTGAGTATGAATGCACAGTCTACACGCTGCATGTACCTACTCATTATATTTGGACTTTTTTTTTTTTCTGTTTAAGAATTCATTTGGCAATGTTACTGGCAGCATGAACTCAGGAAGAGATTCAAATGCAAGAGCTTTTCTTGGTACCTGAACAATGTTCTTTTCCAGAGGCCTGTTCGAAATTTCAAATGTAGCAATAAATAAATCCAATAGCTCTCAACCTTAATCAAATAAACGCTTAAATAAGGACAAGATGTAGTGCCCTGTAACTCATGTATGTATCATTTGGACTTAATAAAATATTGATGAACTTGAATATGTGCCTTTGTTTCCCTATCTTAAAAATCTACTTACTTGCAGTATTTTGAGTACACATCACGACAAGAGATATGGCTCAGCTCTGCCATTCATTTTTGTTTACATGTGACCCCTGAAAGCATTATTGTGTCCTGAAAGGTAAAGGAACCACAGTAGGGCCTGAATAAGTTTGGATCTTCACAAAGGTACTTTGACATGTATTTCTACATCATCTAAACTATGGAGCAACTGATGTTACAACACTGCCCCAAGCTGGACAGGGAAACACTAACATTTCCTTTTCCTCATTCTCGCTAAAGTTCGTTTAGAGTTTGCATTGTTGTTGCTTTCACAAAAACCGCCTGTGGAACCTGTCTTCAGGAAAGTGTTTGACAGGTTCAGGAGAGCATGTGTATGTGAGCACCTGCAAGTCAACCAAACTAAGCCAAACCTGGCTCTTCACCTGACTCTAGTCATGAATTTGCACATGTGCAATTGTGTCATTAGTTTTTCTGCAAGGTTCAGATGTTTAACCTCAGTACAATGTCACATTATATACATTCAAAGAGTTATTGATTCCTCACAGTACAACTCAAAAACACGTTATGAGAGTCCGGAACAAAATGCCCCTTCTGTGCATAAATGGCTGGTAAAGTTCAGCTGAAGCTAATATGAGGCCTCAGCAGTCTAAGATCACCAAATCAAGAAGACGGTCACAAAAAAATCTCTTTGTGTGTAGACTGTGTTTTGATTCTGAGTTTCATCAGGGAAAGAGCGTGCTCAGTAGTTGACTATCTTTATCCAAGCACTGAAAGACACATTTATGAATCACACTTACACTGAGGGTTATTTCCCCTCCTTACTCAATATTCACTTCTGGTGAGATGCCAAACCTCATTTCGTTACTCTATACTTGTATATGTGTAATGACAATAAAGTTGACTCTCATCTCATCTATTCATTGCTTTTTATTGAGTCATCACAAACACACCAACTTCATATTATTCCACAGCAGCAAATATTTCCTGTTCATTTAACTGAAAACAAAGACAATGAAGTGTACATTTATATTAACATCTTCAAAAGAAAACTGTCAGATTGAGAGCAGATGCCACAATGACTCTTGGAAAAAGGAAGAACTGTGACATAGACTTACCCACTTGGTGTTGGATTTTAAATTATTATTATTATTTTTTTAACTTTTACTACAAATTGTATTGTATTTTGCTGGGATAAAAAAAAAAAGATTATTCCATCTTATTCTAAACCACATCATAATTTGCTTGTTTATTGTTTGTTTTATAATCTCTATCTATAAATTAACTTACGTTATCAAATGAATATAGTGGTATAATCGTAATATATTTTACTCTGTATGGTTCTGGGGCAAGTAGGCCTAAAGTATTTATATAGGCTACCTCAGATTTCTTCAGATATAGCCTAAAGTATTGTATTGTATTGTATGTATATATGTATATATATATATAGGCCTATTTCTTCTTTATTATATACTTCCTACCAGAAAGATAAATAAATAAATAAATCACATGATGAACCGCCTTTTTCTTTTTAACACACTCCAAAAAATCCGAACCTGTTTAAGAGCTAAAGGAAAAAAAATAGTACAATTTGTTTATTTTTACATTTTTTTTTTTATAAATGTAAAAACAATGCCAACCTGTGTCCTTATTTACCTCCATTTTTTTTAAACTTTCGTTATCTCTCATAATCACCTCACTTGTAAATATGAAAATGTACTTTTTTGACCGGGTCCTTTTTTTTTTTTAATATGTGCGCACCACAGACTGTCACTATAAAACAGGTGCGCACCGTAATATATTAATATTCACGCTCTTAGTTTCTCACGCACGTACGTGAGGGGGTTGGACAGTTAAACCACGCCCACTCAACGCGTCGGTGACGTCACTTGATTCTACAGCGATGGGAAGTCGAGCGAGCGCTGGTGAGTTTCTCCCAAACCAATAACATCTCTCAATTCTCGTTTAGTCACTTGAACAGGGAAGTAGGCAGGGCGCACAAAAAAAAAGAAAAAAAAAAAAAGAAAAGCCGAGCACCGCCAGCTCGGGAAGTGTTATCACTGCGAGTGTGTTTAAAAGTCTGCATCCCGTCGTCGGCTTTGCTCGAGGTTTATCTGCCGGGTTATCATCTCGTTAACACACTTGTGAGTAGCAGCTGTTTTCGTTTTGCATAATGTAACTTTAAGCGCTTGTAAGCTGTGTGCTCTTTTTGCTAAATGGTTAGCTGTAAACGGCAGGCTTGTTGCTTGTCAACTCATGTTGTCATTACAACAGCATGTGAAGTCTCTACAGGCTGTAAATTCATCATCTGCATGATCTGACCTCTTCTATCGTTTATACAA